ATATTTAGCAGCCATGTAAATAAATACATTTCTCTTGTTAGAGTAATACCACAAAAATGAAAATGGAAAATATAACATCCTGACATGCAGAGTGTTCTATGTATCTTTGTCATCCAGAGGCTGGAATCAGCAGATTTCACACTAGCGCCCAGATTCGTTGTGTATGATAAAGAACAGGATCTGCTCCAAGAGATTTGCCATTGATTTTTTTACCCCTAAACAAAGACTCCTTCCTAGTTACATGATCTATCATAATCAGACAATTTGTATCTTGGCCTTTGCCTTTGGAACAATGACTCCCAGAAAATATGTTGACTTGCAAAAGCAAAACTAGGTTTTCTAGCAGCTGGTCCAGTCATACATAAACTGTGCCTTACGTAATCTTAACATGACTTAAGTTGAAATGCTACCACATAGAAGACACTTCCGGCAGCCTGCACACCCCCTCACGATAGCTATAAAGTGTTTGTCTGGTTATTCAATTCCTTGGTTTGTGCCTCCTTTTGAGCTGTAGAGTATATTCCTAGTGATTCAGCTCCTTGGCTTGTACCTCACTATAGCTCTTAAGTGCATACTGGGGGATTTAAACACATTGTAGCTTGTGCTTTAAAAATATTAAACATTCTTCATGGTCGAAAACCTGATTCCCCTTCTTGCTCCCATACTGTTTCACTGGTCCATCACCATGATAGGAGGCTTCTCTGCCCAACAGAGGAATAGGGTAAAAGGAGGGAGAGGTTACAGACAAGTTCTACACCAAGAAGATCAGATGCAAGTGTTTGCAAGGGATTTGGGGACACCCTATGGATACATTTAGCTTTTCTCACACCAGCTCATATTGTTACTTTGTGACATTTCTAGACTCCAATGTGCAAAAAAACAACTTTTTTAAACATATAGGAAAGTGTCACACTTATCATTTGAGAAAAAGTTTGCAAATTAGGAACATGCATTAATATTAGGTGCGTGCACATAATGTCTGAAGTCTATAAAAGCATTAGGTGTGCTTTCTGAAATGTTGGGGTGCACACTAAACCTTTCCCTTCCCGATTCCAGCACTACAGTAATGCTGTGTGTAAGAATGGTGCCCTGTAGTGCAGGGGTGTATTTACCACAAGGCATTTGCTAGGGCAGCATTTTTCAGGGGGGCAGTACCATCCCGCAAATAAAGGAAAGGAATTAGGGACACACGCAGCACGGGGACCAGGTGAGATCTGAGAGAGGCTGCGGGCTGCTTGACATGTATGCAGAGCCTAACTCTTGTTCCTGGGGATGTCCGGAGCTGTGAAGGTGAGTGTCTTATCCCTTGTCAGGGTGGGGGGGTTGCCAGTGTATGGGGGGGGGGTGGTAGTGGAAGGCTCTCTCGGGTAGAGGTGGGGGGTGCTGTTGGTCAATGAGGGGAGCCAATTTTTGTGTTGCCTAGGGCAGCATGAATCCTAAATACACCACAGCTGCAGTGCCCAGGTTGGAAGAAGAGAAACACAAACTATCCATGCTAGGACAGATCTTCTTCAATGCCTAGCATACCCAGCAACAAACAGGAAGAGGTTCTTTGCTAGGGGCAATAGCAGGATCACCAGGTATTTTATGACTTTCCACAAACTCATGCAGAGATGTTGGAAAGTCATAAAAATGACCATGCCATGAAGAGTATACAGCACATACTGCCACCACAGCCTGTCAATTATTATCTGTGCTTTACACTAAAGTTGGCCATACATTATACAATTTTCTTGTACAATTTCTGTACAATCTCCTTTACATTTACTTTCAACTATGTAGTGCAGGGGCCTGTCTGATTGGATATAAATTGAAAGTATTGCTAATGTTTGACCTCATATTATATGGTCTTTGGTAAATCTAAAGGAAAATTGTACATTAAGATTGTATAATGTATGGCCAGCTAAGTGTCAGTAAAGCGTTAGAAAAAAAAAAAAAAAAAAAAGCTTTCCCCCCACACGGCAATGTCATAATGTGCTAGTCTGCATTGCATATTAGCACATTATGAGAGACTTACCTTAAAACGAAGCCCTCCAGCAGCATGCTGCTACTGCTGACAGAGATTCCATCATCACCCAGTCTTCATTCCAGGTTTGTGGACTCCAGTTGTTTGAATGGTTGAGCCATGGCTGTGACACAGCTCTCTCAATGGACAGCATGCCATCCATTGAGTGTGCATGTGGCGGTGACGTCACTGGCTGCTATACAAGTAAATAGCTCGTAAACGGGGCACGTTTAGGAGATAATCACAGTACCTACAGATACAGTCAGGTCCATAAATATTGGGACATCAACACAATTCTAACATTTTTGGCTCTATACACCACCACAATGGATTTGAAATGAAACGAACAAGATGTGCTTTAACTGCAGACTGTCAGCTTTAATTTGAGGGTATTTACATCCAAATCAGGTGAACGGTGTAGGAATTACAACAGTTTGCATATGTGCCTCCCACTTATTAAGGAACCAAAAGTAATGGGACAGAATAATAATCATAAATCAAACTTTCACTTTTTAATACTTGGTTGCAAATCCTTTGCAGTCAATTACAGCCTGAAGTCTGGAATGCATAGACATCACCAGACGCTGGGTTTCATCCCTGGTGATGCTCTGTCAGGCCTCTACTGCAACTGTCTTCAGTTCCTGCTTGTTCTTGGGGCATTTTCCCTTCAGTTTTGTCTTCAGCAAGTGAAATGCATGCTCAATCGGATTCAGGTCAGGTGATTGACTTGACCATTGCATAACATTCCACTTCTTTCCCTTAAAAAACTCTTTGGTTGCTTTTGCAGTATGCTTTGGGTCATTGTCCATCTGTACTGTGAAGCAGCGTCCAATGAGTTCTGAAGCATTTGGCTGAATATGAGCAGATAATATTGCCCAAAACACTTCAGAATTCATCCTGCTGCTTTTATCAGCAGTCACATCATCAATAAATACAAGAGAACCAGTTCCATTGGCAACCATACATGCCCACGCCATGACACTACCACCACCATGCTTCACTGATGAGGTGGTATGCTTAGGATCATGAGCAGTTCCTTTCCTTCTCCATACTCTTCTCTTCCCATCACTCTGGTACAAGTTGATCTTGGTCTCATCTGTCCATAGGATGTTGTTCCAGAACTTTGAAGGCTTTTTTAGATGTTGTTTGGCAAACTCTAATCTGGCCTTCCTGTTTTTGAGGCTCACCAATGGTGTACATCTTGTGGTGAACCCTCTGTATTCACTTTGGTGAAGTCTTCTCTTGATTGGTGACTTTGACACACATACACCTACCTCCTGGAGAGTGTTCTTGATCTGGCCAACTGTTGTGAAGGGTGTTTTCTTCACCAGGGAAAGAATTCTTCGCTCATCCACCACAGTTGTTTTCCGTGATCTTCCGGGTCTTTTGGTGTTGCTGAGCTCACCCGTGCGTTCCTTCTTTTTAAGAATGTTCCAAACAGTTGTTTTGGCCACGCCTAATGTTTTTGCTATCTCTCTGATGGGTTTGTTTTGTTTTTTCAGCCTAATGATGGCTTGCTTCACTGATAGTGACAGCTCTTTGGATCTCATCTTGAGAGTTGACAGCAACAGATTCCAAATGCAAATAGCACACTTGAAATGAACTCTGGACCTTTTATCTGCTCATTGTAATTGGGATAATGAGGAAATAACACACACCTGGCCATGGAACGGCTGAGAAGCTAATTGTCCCATTACTTTTGGTCCCTTAATAAGTGGGAGGCACATATGCAAACTGTTGTAATTCCTACACCGTTCACCTGATTTGGATGTAAAATACCCTCAAATTAAAGCTGACAGTCTGCAGTTAAAGCACATCTTGTTTGTTTCATTTCAAATCCATTGTGGTGGTGTATAGAGCCAAAAATGTTAGAATTGTGTCGATGTCCCAATATTTATGGACCTGACTGTAAGCCTTATTATAAGCATACCTGTAGGTACAAGTTAACCTCTTGGCGTCGGTCAAACGCAAATGTGCGGCCTCCCGGCGTCTGGGCCTAGACGCCAAGCAGCCGCACATTTGCACTCTATTAAAAAAACATATTTGCTGAGCGTGCATGCCCTACGCGCTCCCAGCACACACGTTTGGTACTCACGGAAAGGTCCCGATCTCCTCTTTTGATCCGAACCTTTCCCGATCATGTGACCACCGTTAAAGCGAATCATGGCGGTCACATGACCCTAGAAACCCGCCCGCCTCCCGGCTTCTGGAACCTTTAAAGGGCCGGGAGATGATGGCGCCAAGCGGTTAAACAAAGGAGTGAATGCTGAAACTCCTGCACTGGATGATGAGCTCCACAATGTCAGTAACCCCATATGGAATACTATTTGGGAATGCAAGCCTTGCTGCCCTCAACGGACCAGGGAAATCCAAAGGAGCTGTGTGCAAAGAAACAAACAGAGGGCACACAGGCCTAGTGCATTACCTTCTAAAAATTTGATTTATTGAATAAAAAGTAGTATACTCACAAAAGAATAAAATCAAGGCACATCACAAAAAAGACAGCATGGTTCAATCTCCCTAGATGGTGTCTATTGGGGGACAGTAGGTCTCCAAATGGCTGACGTGCTTCGAGGCTGAACCTCTTCCTCAGAGCCAAGTCTACACAGCCTGTGTCCTCTCTTAAATGAGCTGTTAATGTGGAGGGGAGGGGGGGGGGGGGGGGGGGGAGGGAGGGTTTAGATGATGCTGAAACCCGTCCGACTTGATGACGGAGAGGATAAAACCCACAAATCCTAGCAAGTCATATTCTTACTCTTTAAAAAACAAGAAAAACATCCTCTGTATTGCAATTATCTAAAGTAAAATTATGTTGCAATTAAACTTTTGAGTATTACTGAGTTGTTACTAAATCCACAACAGTAAAGTCAGTCTGTATATTCAGTAAAGCATGCTTGTTGTACTCATTGTAGAACGTAAGGGGTTAATCCTCTGCATTGTGTAAAAATGCTGTTTGATTCTGACTTCTCTGATCCTCCCCTTCTTCCAGTGTCACCTTCTGATCTCCTGATAAGAGATATCGTGTGGAGACACTCTGTACATGCTCAGTTTGGGGTGTATTGCTAGAGATTTTTTTTCTTGGGAGAGTGCATGTGATCAGCACAGGGTCATTAAGCACTGTCCAGACAGAGGTCATGGGTCCTGCTTCTTCCTAGAGCAGAATAAAAACTCCTCATACAAGCTTTCAAGCTTTAGGCGGTGCTCGGCTGGACACTGATAGACGTCACAAGATGGCTCTAACTACTGATGAGAAAAGGTATTTAACAGTTTATATGTTACAAAATAATTGCATTTCCATGTTCTGTGTACTGTGGGAGGCCAGATACAATGAATGCAGGATTCTGGGTTAGGTAACATTTTAAAGTGGTTCTTAAGCCAGAAGGTTTTTTTTTTTCACCTTAATGCATTACCTGCACTAATGTAGAAAACCTTCCACTAGTTGTTCCCCCCTCCCCACCCACCTACCTAAATACTTACCAGAATCCTGTATCGATCCAGTGCTGTGCCTGTCAGCACCAGAGCTGTTTTTGTCTCTCCCCTTTCATAAGCTCAGAGACAGCAGTAGGAGCCATTGTCAAGCAAATACTGCAATGATGGTACAGGGGGTGAGGACAAGCCACACTTTGTGTGTCAATAGCAAACACAGCCCACCTTGCACAGAAGTCCCCAACACCTCAAAACTTTGTGTGGCTTTCAGATTAGAACAACATTGCATAGAGAGCTTCAGGGAATGGGTTTCCATGGGCGAGCAGCTGAATCCAAGCCATACATCACCAAGTGCAATGCAAAGCGTTGGATGCAGTTGTGTAAAGCACGCCGCCACTGGACTCTAGAACAGTGGAGACATGTTCTCTGGAGTGGCCAAGGGAGAATGTCACCTGCACACCGAGGATCACTAATATGGGTCCAAAAGTTTTAATGAATGATCACATAGTTACAGCACTGCAATGTTTCAGAGTCTCACAGGACCCCTTTATCAGGCATGTGACATATGCCTTGCTTTGCTGTAACTATGTGATTGTTCATTAAAACTTTTGCACCCATATTGGTGATCCTCGGTGTGCTGGTGACATTCTTCCTTGCTGATTCTGTTTTCTTCCAGCTGACGATCGCTGCGGCACCCATTTATACACAGCCATTTTTAATGCAGGAACGTGTGCGTATGGATTGGACTGAGTTTGCACTCTGGAGTGACCAATCATGCTTCTTTGTCTGGCAATCTGATGGACGTGTTTGGGTTTGGCGGTTGCCAGCAGGGTACTTGCCTGACTGCATTGTGCCAAGTGTAAAGTTTGGTGGAGGGGAGATATGGTGTGAGGTTGTTTTTCAGGGGTTGAGCTTGGCTCCTTAGTTCCAGTGAAGGGAACTCTTAAGGTGTCAGCATACCAAGACATTTTGGACAATTTCATTCATTTTCAGTTTGGGGATGGCCCCTTCCTGTTCCAACATGACTGCACACCAGTGCACAAGCAAGGTCCATAAAGACATGGATGAGCGAGTTTAGGGTAGAGGAACTTGACTGGCCTACACAGAGTCCTGACATCAACCCGAGAGAACACCTTTGGGATGACTGCAAGCCAGGCCTTCTCGTCCCACATCAGTGCCTTACCTCACAAATGCGCTTCTGGAAGAATATTCAAACATTCCCACGGACGAATTCCTAAACCTTGTGGACGGCCTTCCCACAAGATTTGAAGCTGTTATAGATGAAAAGGGTGGGCCAACTCAATATTGAACCCTACGGATTAAGGCTGGGATGCAATTAAAGTTCTGTGCACACAGATTGGATCCAAGAGGTATGCCAAACAAAACAAAGTAGGCTCTATCTTTTCAATTTAAAGCTCACAAATACCTTACATTTTTCTTGGAGTGAAATGTAATAATTCTTATAGAATGTACACTGCAACTAAAGAAACAGGAACACCACAAAGTTACCCGAGTCAAAAAAAAAAACAAAACTGAATATTACATTGAAGCAGCACATCACACAGGCATAAAAAAAGATCCAAAATGCATTGGCAAAATACAGCTCTTATTTAGACATTATAAAATGTCAATAAGTTTCAGCAATGATGATAAAGTAGGGAAATCCCATTACTGGACTTTTAAGATAGAAGCAGGTGTTTGACCTAGACCAGTGTTTCTCAACCTTTTTTCAGTCAAGGCACCCTTTACAATTATGGACAGTCTTGAGGCACCCTTTACCCTTGAGGCACCCCATTCAAAAATGGTTTGCCTCAAGACTGTCCTTAATTTTAAAAGGGCGCCCCATTCTAAAATATGAAAAACTATTCTAATAGTTTTATATAATACAGCAACATCCACACATGTAGGACACCCAGCATTAGAGGTGATTTATACTTCCAAAGCAAATACACCTTTGCACACTGGTACTGAGTAGTATTCCAATGTTTCTCCTCTCCCTCAGTTTTTCTCCATCACTGAGTTAATGTGACCCCAGCACTGCCGGAGAGGGGAAGGGGAGGATCAAACTAGGATGCTGTGCAGGCAGCCGACATCCTCCTTATCAACTGATGATGTCATTGGTTGTCAGGACACCATCACCTAGAAGGTCGTAATGGTGCACAATGAAAACCTGTGACTTTGTGTAACTAAAAGGCAGGCTTGTTTCACTTGCTGGTTTGTATACAAATTTTGGGAATTTTGTAGACATTTTTCCAAGGCACCCCCAAAGAAACCTCAAGGCACCCTGGTTGAGAAAGGCTGACCTAGACCAACAAACTTGTGCCTGTAAGTGAATACATTTTTTGTGTATGTGTGTGGAAAGACCCTTTAAGGAATCCAAACTTTATCACACTTAAATTTGAATAGTTAGCAGTTAGTTGTCTTGTATTGCACTAAACAAGACAATCAATGTTGCTAATTCTCTAATCCAATTACAATTTAGAGAATCGGCTATTATAGTTTTTCCTTTCCCAATCTTTTATTCAATTAAACACATTCTCTCACAAGTAGCTAAGATAAGGAGAGATTTCTTCCTCAATCTACAGAGAATTATCAAAAGACTTCTCTCCAAATCACTCCTGCAGCAGAGCTGTGACACCTATTTACATGAGATCACATCAAGACGTCTCCACCTTGACAAAATGCAGATGCCACAGTGTATCAGGACAGCACCTGACTCCTCACATACACAGTCCAAAACAGTTTTCTTGATCCCTCTCAACCTGAAGTCTTGTCAATATATGGATTGTCTTGCTTTCTAATTCAGTGAAAAATCTAGTTTTCCATTAGTCTCTGCCTTTCTCATTTTCCATACAGCTTTACTAAAAGTAATTATTAAGGGCAGATCCAAGAAAGCAATTAGTCAGCTACTGGTTTGTATCTTGAAAGTCTTAATACACAGAAGTTTGATGGCCACTGGAAACGCAGAGGGGAAATTCTGGATTCTGAAATAGGATGCCTCCACCTACATTCTAAACAGCCCTAAGCTGGAGATATTGGCAATGCTTCACTAGTGGAAAGTATAGATTACAGATTATTAAAAGGCCACGTACATAAAGAACTCATATTTAAAGCCCCACTCTAGGAAAAACCTTAAAACACCTTCTAGTATGCCTCCCTCACCTCCACCTTGTGAAGCCACAACTAAGCATCACCCATCCAGATCCCACACCACCACCACCTAACCTGTATTAAAAAAAAAAAAAAAAAAAAAAAAAAAAATGATGTGTTTACTTACCCATTTTTAACAGCGTGATCCTGCAGCTTCGGCTCACAGAGCACTTGGCAAAGGCTTTGAATTCCAGGAACCATAACGTCTCCCATAGCCCAGCTGTTGTTAGCACTCCCTCCTCTCACTTACTAACGCAGGGGAGGTGAAGCTGCAAGATCACGTGACTGTACTGGATTAAAAATAGGTACTTATACACATTTTTTTTTTTTTTTTTATACAGGTCAGGCAGGATAGGTAGGAGGAAGGGTAGGGAATATTTTTAGAAACAGTTAGACTTAAGCTTTTCTTCCATTATAACTTTGCTATCAAACGTTCCCTATGTGAAAGCATGTGCAGGTGACAAGTATTCTTTGTGGAGACATCAGGGGTCTATTAGACCCTGCCCTGCCCTCCACTGGAGCTAATCATTTGTGATTGATTAGCCTGCACTTCTCAGTACTATAAAATTGATCGGATGTCGTAAAGCTGCCTAGATCACTTTTATTGAACAGCCGATTGCCAGCTGACAACAAAATGATACCAAAGCTCATAGCTGCAGCCACAAGCTTGTTTTAACCACTTGCACTCAGGACATTTTAAAAACAGCCCAAGGACAGCAAATGATTAAAGGAAAGGTACTTCAAGAAATATGTAGGCTACCATTAGAGACATCCTCTTCTAAGAATTTTAGCCACTATCAAACTATTCCAGTGTCTTCAATATGTCAACACTGGCCTGGAAAAAATATACAGGCAATGATGTGCAGACTTCACTGACTACATAATTGTTCTGGATCAGTGGCTCAGAGTATGAAGCCAAAGAAAGCCAGGTGACTAGCATTTACATGGGAAGATCCACAATAGCAAGCCATGGTTTTCTCTCTGTGCAGGTTCCCCTTTAATATCCACTGGAAGCATCACTGGGCTGATTCCTCTACAAGAAGGCCTCAGGAGGGTTAGGGCACAGAAAGGAATTGTTCTGCTCCTACTGCATCATGCTGTGTGATTTGCCACAAACCATTCTCTCTTCATGTCACACTTAACAGATATAAGCCAGTTCATCAAAGTTTGAGACAGTACCAGGAAATCAGATGGCTAGCCACCATAAGCTCACATACCACCAAACACCACTCAGAACACTAATCACACCCCATGGGAATTGTTGATGTTTTTCAACATACAGTATCTGAACAGGCAAACATTATTAATTCAAATTGTGCCTACAGATAAAGATGATACACCTATACTTGAACAAATTGCATAAATGTGACAGGGTGTACTCATTTTCATGATCTAAACTAAAAAAATCTTAAATGTAGATTTGCCATAAGTAAAATGTAAGTACACGCCTATGTTTACCACTACATTAAACCCATCAGTTAGAATTTGGTGTTCCATATTAGGTGCCAATGATTAGACCCTCCTTAAGAGGTATGAGGATAGAATTTGTTTTATTTAAATCTCGGACAGCTAGGGTCTAGTGCTCTCTTTGCTATTGCCATGTGGTGTCATCATGCCAAGACCAATAGAGCTCTCTAAGAACTTTAGAAAGAAGAATGTTGATGCCTAAAAGTCTGGCAAAGGATTTAAAAAGATCACCAAAAGATTTGAGATCAATCATACCACTGTAAGGAAAATAATCTAAAAGTGACGAAGACAAAACAACTGC